CGCGTTCAGGGTGCGTTCTCGGCGATGGCGCTTCATTGCTTAGATCGGCCCTCTACTCCAGCGCATTGTCCCCTGTCGTCTTACAGTAGACGCGACGCGTAATGGTTTACTGAATTGCGTCAAGTTAATCTTATCGTGATAACTTTCAAACGGCCTTTTTTGGGTATTTGTTACCTTCCACAATCTGAAAAATATAAAAATTATAATGGAGAACTTTATACAAGTGTAGAAGGGCAAACTTTTTAGTTTAAACACGAACAAAATAAAACTCACTTTCAACACAAATATCATACAAAGTTTTTTGTACAACTGTCCTGTTTTCATAATAAAAAAAGATAAATTTAACATTTTTATGAAAACACATTTTGACATCTCTTGTCAGTTAATTATTTTCATGTTATCGCATTTGCTGTGAAGTAGCCGTGTCAGGTGACGCCAAATCACCTGGTTATCAACAAACAGTATTGTTTACAGTTCACACGTTTTATTTAAAGTCACATTTGAAGTTCTTGCTGCTAATTAATTTCTTGCATAATGAAGAACAATAGTGAGGAATTGTGTATTCTTGACGATATTGAAGAGACTGTAAAAAGAACTTCAATTGAATTGTTACCAAAAAAATCGCTCAGCAGTACGACATCGTATATTCCAATTTTCTATGAAATGGGTTGTATTTTTTAGGAAACTATTACTGTTTCCTGAAATTGGTTTCAAAATTACCAAAAGGTATCTTGCTAATTTCAGAACACATTTTAAAATCAGACGGTGAACATCGGGTGGAATGGAATAGGACAAGAAAGATTACCAATGAGCCTCATTCTAAGAGACGTAAGCTAAAAGAATCAGCGTATATTCTCATGTCTGGAGAGAATTGTATCTCGAATAGCTCCTTAGAAATAGACCGTACTTGGCTACCCATCTTGAAGAAAACTTTGGATAGTGGCGAAATGGCAACAAACTGATATCGGAGAGTACCTTGTATTACATCGAATGTTTCAGTTCTCAATCAAGAACATTGACATAATTTCATATTTCAAAACTTCTTTGACATCTGTCGAAGAAGTAAAGAAATAAGCTATCAAAAAAGGAATAACTGCGAATATATTCGAATTTTTTATCCATTTCTGAAGACGGAGGCAGATTTTGGCCTCCGAAACGTATTAAGATAAGTATTGTATTATTTCTTAATAATTTTTTTGATAGGCAAAATTGTTAAATACGACAAGTTACTGATAAATAGATGATTTTTCTTTGTGAAAAATACTTTGATTTTTACGCAGTAACTTATCGGGGTAAACTAAAAAGTTTGCCCTTCTACACTTGTATAAAGTTCTCCATTATAATTTTTATATTTTTTTTCAGATTGTGGAAGGTAACAATTACCCAAAAAAGGTCGATAAAAAAACTGATTTTTTCCTCCACAAAAAATGACTTTCGTTGAATATGAATAATCATGTTTTGTTTATTGCTATTTGGCCGAAAAAAAATGTGTTGAAAATACTTTTAACACTAGTGTTAAAATATTTTTAACAAAATACTTTGTAAACATAATCTTTCAATACTCTTGACAACCATCAAAAATATCACTTTCAATGACAGTTGTACAAAAACAATCTTACGGTACATTATCTTTATGTAAATCCTACAGAGATCAAGAATTTTTCCGACTTACTCAATACTTATCGTTATATTATGATCAAAATTATAAAAAAAACCTCTGTAAATTGTAGTCCATATGATATTCTGATGTATAAGCCGTATTAATGTAAAGTTTCATCTAAATCCGTTCAGTCGTTTAGGCGTGAAAGAGCTACAATTATCCATCCATCCAGCTACATTTATCCATCCTCACAAACTGTCACATTTATGTTAGTATAGATTGAATGTCAAGTCTGTGATACTGTGAAACAACAAAAATGAACATTTCGAAACTGAATTCATTCCACTCTCTGTCACCAATATAAGAAAAACAGTATACCGGGTAACAATGAAATCATTGTATACGACACCATTAAATTTTATAAGAGGTAGGAAATTCGAAATTCGAAAAAAGGTATAAATCGAAGCCGATATTTTGAAAGACAAAACCCTTGAAACTCTACACAGAGTAGAAAAAGAACCTAAGTCAAGTATTTCAAACACAACCCTGTAAATTTTTTGGCCATTTGATCGGATACAGAATGTCTATTTCTACTCAAAATGACGGCGTAGGAGATATTTTCTCCAATTTCAAAATAGCGGTACTATGAGGTCATCTACAGAAATATTGTCAAACAATACGATGTTGAAAGAAACAAACGACGAGGTTCGATCTGTTTTTGGATAAAAATTCATAAATTTAAATTCATCACCATCACCGCGTACCTACTTTTTCCAAATTTTTATTAATGCCATTTTGTATTTTATTGATTTCATTTTTTCAACTTTGACATCTAAGTGTACCTCTTTTACTACAAAAAAGTGTCCAAGACACTATGCTGTTGATTTTTTGTGACATTTAAAAACTGAAAGTATCGAAGCTGCTCTATCTCATTGTGAGTTGAAAATAAAAAAAAATGATACATGCATTTGTACGTTTTCAACTTATTCAAACTTAAAAAAACTAACAGAGTTGAATACTTCATTGTTTGCCTCCCAAATCGAATTCTGATAATTATTTTTCTTGGTTAATCTGTGCTATCTAGCCATGTTTTATTTATTCAAAAATGAAAGTGGAAATATCAATTCTTACGTAATTCTATGCTATTTTAGTCTTTGTATTTCATTGGAAGTGTTCACTTACGGCGTGCAATAATTTCAAACCATTTATATGGTATAACAGACATTTATACCAAATTTTTATACCCCAGCGTACAGAATATGCAGTATGTGGCGTCCGTGGGTAAAAAGTAATACTGCTTCTCCCAGTCAGCGGTTTGTTGAAGAAAAATTTTAGGAACAAAGGTGATATGAGCTTTGTTGTCGAGAATGTTTTTACGAATCGAAATGCATGATGAAATATAGGGTGGTTCCATTTAAAAAAAGTCTTTTTATGAAATATTTTGAAAACGCGACTGTCATTTTTTTGTTCTCGGCATCGAGAAGGCCATTAAAAATGCAACTAGTTTGCCCATTTAACCAAATTCTTAACATCAATAATAACGGGAGGTATTATTGATGTTGAGAATGTTAATTTGGAACAATCTGTACAATGAAATCTAATGTCTATATATTTTTCAGAAATAGCTCCTAATAATTCAGTGGTTTGTCTCATTAGAAAACAAGCTATCAATACACCGATACAATGTAAACGTTTTGAGAGACTTTTTACTACAAATCCCGGTATATAAATATTAATTTCAATAAATTGGTGAATGTAAACGTTAGTTACTACGTGGTAGGAAATCATAATGAAGAAAAGAGAATTGAACCTTTCTAGCTTTTTTACCACTTTTATTTGTAACTCACGTTACTGCAGTTTCGTCCTATAAGGACATTTTCAAAATTATACATTAAACTGAAGATTAATGTGTAAGTATAAGTATATAAGTATAATGTATAAGTTTCAAATATTAACTTTCTTGCCAACTTCGGACAAATTGGCAAATTCGGCTAATTTAAACTAAGTAGAATCTGTTTTGCCTGAATGATATTTAATATTCGTAGTTTTATTTATTCGTTGTATGTCAGATGATTGATTCAATATAGATATTTCTTGGAAAGGTATATAATTTTTACTAAAACTTTCCTTCAAATATTAACTTTCTTGCCAACTTCGGACAAATTGGCAAATTCGGCTAATTTAAACTAAGTAGAATCTGTTATGCCTGAATTATATTTAATATTCGTAGTTTTATTTATTCGTTGTATGTCAGATGATTAATTCAATATAGATATTTCTTGGAAAGGTATATAATTTTCACTAAAACTTTCCCTCAATTCCAAATGACTCACACATTTTTGTATATACCTTTGAACTGTTTCGCGATTAGATTTTTATTGCACCCCCTCTGCGATCTTACGTTTCCGAAAAACAATTCAAGGTCTTTGGTCTTTAGGTTCTGAGAATTTACTATAACTTTATCTTGAAATAGACTATAAAATTAAAATCTACAGTATATTGGTGTTTTTATATGTAAATAGACTAATCTTCACCTTTCATTATACCTGTTTTGATACCTAATACCTACCCAAATTTGTGTCATATTATTTACAATGTATTCCACTTTATTCATATGTTAATAACTATGGCTTACATTTTCTAATTTTACCTGGTTTCTATCTGGGATTACTAAGTATAAGATCAAACAAAGGACTGCTGGAAATATAACCTTTGGCGCTGTTCAAAGAACAGTGATGGGTGAAGGTTAGTCCACATATCATAGATTTTAGTTTTAGTTATCTCCTGATGATGCTAACTTGGTCAGCGAAACGCGCCTCAAGAGACCGTCTTTTTGTTCTGGTGTGGAAAAAGTGATTTCATTAGATTCATTTTATGCCAGATGTTCCAATTTCACCTATCGAGATTTCTGTATTTTAAATATTGGGAACAGATATCAAGTACATATGAAATTGTAAATATGAAATTTCATGAAAACTCTTTTGTTCCATGTGAAATTCATATATGAGAAAATAATAGTATCCCTATGTGCGTTTCGCTAGCCAGATAGCTCCCTCAGGAGATAATTATGAAGTCATAATAGATTCATTTTACGCCAGAGGTTCCAGTACGAACTATCAAAATAATACTTTATTGATTCAAATACTAAATGTATCATTATAGCAACTTATTGTGTGCATAAAAGGTCACGAAGTAACATTTCAACAAGTGAGCTTGAGTTTGCCCTACATACCTATAGTAAAAATTTAAAAACAGTATTATTAGAATGCGTTTATTTTAAAATCAAAATAAATTTAATAATACAATACCAGTCTCAACTACATTACGAAGTAATCAAACAGACGAACTTAAAAATAGATCGAATCGTAAAAGATCATCATCATTGAATAATGATCCTTTACTAGTTAAATGTCATACCAGAAAGCTTCCTCACTAGAGATCCTTTCAACAACGAACTTGAACTTATTTCCGCACAATCCGGTCCAGCATACTTTTTCCTGATAGTTTGAAATTTAGAAGCACCACTCTGAATCAAAATTTTTGCAAAGCAAATTACAACTTCTTCAAACTCAGCATATTTGTAACCCGTATAACGAACAAGGGTTGGAGTCCAAAGCTTCGACAAGTCGCTAACGTCATTCAAAATTCCCATTGACAGAAAACAAGCTGCAGCAGCTTGGAGAGAAGGTTTTACGTGGCTCATGCCATATTCAATAAGTGCTAGCTCCAGCATATATTTACCCAAAATATAGTGGATACTGCGCACCTTAGCAATCTTACTATACCTCCTCAGAAAATGAATGGATAAGGGGCGACCCAGGCCGAAATCAAGCTTATTCAGAATGTCTCTCTCCATTTGTAGAATTTTCCTTTCAGAATAAACGTTGCCGCATAAGAACTTCAAATCACTCAAGCAGGGAGAGCGATACTCTTCGTATTTAGCAGCTATTAGCAATGCAGATGCCCCAACTAACTGATATATATCAAGCCCCACTTGCTCGTTGTCCTGTATGTATCTGTCGATGAGACTAACAAACATATGAAGTGTTTCCAGATGCATTTCGAATTCCAGGTGCACCGCTACCAGCCAGTCGACTAGTATTTCTCGCATTTTTGGGGTTATCTCACGACCATCGAGAAAACCTTTCCTAATAGGATACTTGTCCTCCATGCTTCTCATATATTTAAAAATATCCGGAATGTATTCCGTAACCATATTAGGATCATTTTTGTAGTCTTCATCGGGGTCATCAATAACTAGTTGCTTGCAGGAGTATGACTCGACAGCTCCGTTTTGGTTTTTTATGTTTGATCTATTTACATTAGCAATTTTGTCGTTTTTAGTCTTGATATCCTTGCAAAATACCGTAGTGGTTGTTTTAGGCTGAGAAGGCTGCATAACAACTGGTACAATGCAGTTGAAGGTTGTAGGACGATCCTGTTTGCGATCTGGAAGTTGGCCATTTTTTTTTATTGAAACCCGCAGCTTATTCCCAACCTCTCCAAAAGCGGCTCTCTTCCGATTATTCCTTGATGGTTCCGATATGATAAGTTTTGAGGCGAACTGCAATCGAACGTTTTCCTGATTGGTTTTGATAGTAGCATGTGATCTAAAATCCATTCTGCAAGGAAAGTTATAAACATTCAATTGATTTAGAAGATATCAAATATTTCAATCCCTTCAACTTTTGTTTCATTTATAATTGTTCAATGTTTTGCTCATTTTCATTTTATTGTATTTTCATGAATTACGATTTTGAATGTCCCGGAATAAGCTTGATCTGCTTATGTCATCGATGACATCGTAATGCCATTCATTCACCTATTTGATTTAATATAATATAACCCTTTCAATTCAAATAAGATTCCTCATGACTGGGATTAAATTATCCGTTGATGATTCAACAATAAGCTTAGCACGGATTGGTTATCAGTCATATTACTAAATGCTAGTTGAAGTTCTAGAAAGTCACATACGTTTTTGCTACCTCTTGAACATGTACCACAAATGAAACTAGTAAGAATTTTTTCAGCACAATAACTACAAATACAAGACGAGATAGACGATACGGAATCATTCAATCCAGAGCGGTCAGGAGTATTGGTTCTACTATTTTTCTGCTCACGGGCTTTTTTGCCTCTGGTTTTGGTGAAACCTCACTTGAGCGCAAACGTGTGCTAACCTGCTCATAGAGAGTTAGTTCCTCCACCCGAGACAGATTCTGCGTACGCCGCAGCTCTCGCTCCTAAAATAAATTTACAGGGAAGTCAGTTGGAGTCGTAAACTCGACATCCATTTCCTCTGTAGATTCGCTCCTTAACTAAATTTACAGGGAGGTCAGTTGGAGTCGTAAAATCAACCTCCATCTCCTCTGTAGACTCGCTCCTGTATTAAATTTTACAGGAAGATCATTTGGAGTCATAAAATCGACATCCATCTCCTCTGTAGACTCACTCCTGAACTAAATTTACAGGGAGGTCAGTTGGAGTCGTAAACTCTCCTCTGTAGACTCACTCTTGAACTAAATTCACAGGGAGGTCAGTTGGAGTCGTTAACTCGACATCCATCTCCTCTGTAGACTCGCTCCTGAATTAAATTTACAGGGAGGTCAGTTCGAGTCGTAAACTCGACATCCATCTCCTTTGTAGAGTCACTCCTAAACTAAATTCACAGGGAGGTCAGTTGGAGTCGTTAACTCGACATCCATCTCCTCTGTAGACTCACTCTTGAACTAAATTCACAGGGAGGTCAGTTGGAGTCGTTAACTCGACATCCATCTCCTCTGTAGACTCGCTCCTGAATTAAATTTACAGGGAGGTCAGTTCGAGTCGTAAACTCGACATCCATCTCCTTTGTAGAGTCACTCCTAAACTAAATTCACAGGGAGGTCAGTTGGAGTCGTTAACTCGACATCCATCTCCTCTGTCGACTCGCTCCTGTACTAAATTTACAGGGAGGTCAGTTGGAGTCGTAAACTCAACTTCCGTTCTTATCTGTAAATTCGCTCCTGTATTGAATTTTACAGGAAGATTAGTTGGAGTCGTAAACTCGACATCCATCTCCTCTATAGACTCAGCCTCAGAAATAATTTTTAAGTTCACTCTGTCCATGAAAGTCTCACGAATAGCTAGGAAAAGAAGGTCAATCACGACAGAGCCCCGCATTACCTTGACAGGGCGATGCTACGACGAGAGGGCGCCCGGTATCTCGAAGGTTTCGTAGACACCGCTGCTAGGCTCAGTGTCATTCATCCTCCCGGCACGGATTCGGATACACACACCTTAGGATTAAGCCATCGTTGGAATGCTATTCAGTCAGGAAATAATAGAACTACAAGTAATTCTGTCAATCCCGGATCCAGCGGGGCTACGTGGAAGCAGGCATCCGATGGCCGGTTTGCACAACCCAAGCCAATGCACTCGCCGTAAAACAGCATGCACAGTGGTTCAGGCAGTGAAAGATGAACAAGGACAGCCAACCCTCCCAAACTGCAGTTAGTCAGATACTAAATGTTCAGTAAACTATGTCACACCTCTGATAAAATATCCTGAAAATCCTTTTTTTTTCTGTGCCAAAACTGCTATATGCCTTTAGTTGGCACGGCCTTCTCTAGCCAAACATTGGACTAATTAGCTAAAGTTTATGAAGTTATTCATCAGTTGGAGTTCTCCTGTTGACGCGAAAACGATACGTGAAATGATGTGGAAAAAAAAAATCTCAAATTTTGTAGTTGTAGAATACTGAGAGAATAGTTATTTCTGAAATGTTCAACCTATATCATTATCATTTCCTTGATTAAAATTTTCACCTTCATTTTTGAATGGGTAAATTATTATAAAATTGTTTAATCATATCCAAATGAGCGAAGTCTCTTCATAAATGAAGATGAGTACGTTTGCTCATATTTCATGTAATCTTCCACACAATTTTGAATGGATCTTGAACTTCATTAGTTGAAATTTCGGAAATGAATTCTTCATAATTGATTTGACTAACATTTTAATATATTTCATATATCTGGTAGCCGCAACATTGATCAGATTTTAGGTTTTACGAAAAATTGCATTTGATGTTTCTTCTACAATTAAAAGCAGAAAATGCACGTGAAATAGACAAAGACAATCAGTTTCAATTTATTTGACACATACAAATGATCATGTACGAAACATACTATTCAAACTGAATGTCTGCAGCAGATACAATAACATTCGATTTCAATCACTTCATGATAATTAGGAATATTCTAGACCAACTAACTTCACAACTGCTGACCGACCTGAAGAATGCAATTGTGTTTGCAAAAACCAATACCTTGTATAATAAATAACATCATACAACCGACCGGAATGATTATGATAATTCAGATGATGGCTCGACACCATACAACTAGTCAACTATTCTATACTAAAGCAGGGGATTTCAGAAAATATTACGAATCGAATTGGTTAACTATGAAACAAAGATGGTTACTACAAACAAGTTGTTTTATACATAATGTAATTCAAACGAAAGTACCTATTTACTTATACAACAAACTTTTATTCAGACACGACGTTCACGCATTTCATACCAGATATCGATACCGCCTTACCCCTCCAATACACCATACTTCACTATACCAAAGATCGTTTCTTTATAATGTAACAAAGATCTATAATGCCATTCCTGACTCGTNTGTTCTGCACTTTCCTCTCCTGCACCCAGAAAATTTACACATTTTCATTTATATTCAATCCCTACTAGTAACTTTACCACCATCATACCTCCAGCTCAGCTCCGTATCTGACATTGAATACTGGACTACACCACTATTCGTAGAGACCATGCAAGAAGATCCACCCTGAATTCTTTAGCCAAATTTCGGTCATTCGAGGTGGCCTTCAGCCATGAGATTACATTTCCCAAATTTCAAACCTCTCTGAAGATGAAGCCAGATGCCAACAAGTTCTGATATCAATAAATGGTACCATAATAGAAGAAATCACAACAGCCCAAAGTCATAAAAATATCTACTAAATGTTCCACTCCCGGAATGCAAGAATTGCACGGCACCTACCTGATAGAAGTGCCTCCAGGATGCGGAATTGAGACACCCGAAGCCAACAACATCAATTCCAAGGTCTTCACATTCGAGCAGCTCCTCGCCTTGCCAAAAGTCCGAACGATTTCAATACCATGTGAGAAGAAGATGCCACCTAACTAACTGGAGAAAATCCCCCTAGATGAACTTTCAAAATTCACGAACAAAGCCTATTGCAACAAGGATATTCCAGGCGACAATATACTATCCCTGTATTGATCATTGCTACAGCGGTAATTGGGATTTTGCTATTAAAATTCCGTCACACCCTATGATGCCAGAGGATCTCTGAAACACCACCAGTACCAGGACTCAAGTTTTATTTCACCCTCATAAAACTTCTTCAGAGGATAGAGAAGTAATAGTCCGAGAGCTAGTGAACCCTCCGACTAACGGTCTTCCTGTGAGGCTAGAAATGTGTACAGTGATGAGTCATAGCACGCCAAGGCCAACACCCATGACCTGTCAGGCATCTGCCCTGCACATCATCAGCCGTTTAATTTTTTAAAATGTCAAATAAATAAGATAAAAAACTTATTTCTGTAAGTTTCAAAATTCAATATCATTTAGTTTATTTCTTGATAATTATGAAAAAAAAATTGACAGGCGATTAGAGTAAGCAAAAGTACCTACCAGGTGAATCGAAAGGTGCACAGTTTAGGAGGTAAAATAAACTTTCTTCTGTAAAGTTGAAATTGAAGTATGAGTTTGAGTAAGTCATTTAAAATGAATGCGTACAATGACAGGCGGTTCTGAACAGCATAAGACCTTGGCAGGCGAGGGGAAAGATGCTAAGGGCGTGCGACTAAGAGGCGTAAAGTAAATGCATATAGTGTGAGTGACATTACATAAAATTAAAAATTATAGATGCAATATATTTTATTAATTGTTGTGTAACCTACA